AAGAATCCTCACAGCTCTTCTTCTTATAGAGGTGCTGGTTACCGAAGCAAAGACTTAAGAGAGTTTATGGCATCTCCCTTATGGCACACGTGAGAAACACAGGCAAGTAGCAACACCCCCAGCAGATTCCGAGTGAGAAGAGAGTTTAAGAAATGTTTGAATACTGAGCACACCAAAGCAACTAAAGGGTAGAGCTTTTAACCTGTGTGTTAAAGAACACTCGTATTAAACCTTCTACAGGTTGTCAAACTGGAGTTTGACAAACTGGGTTACAGTCTTACACTGGGGCCCAAAATAAGCAGAGAAGCCTTTCTGTGTCATCCTCTGCTCCCCATTCTCAGTCCTGAGCACCACAGTCAAGCTCCGCACCCAAGGGCCTGATTCCATCTGTGAAGCTGAAGCAGAGAAGCATTTAAGAAAGCCAGGCACAGCTAGCAAATAGCTGCCAATGCAATTAGAATGGTCTTACTGCAAAATACTGAACCCTTTCCAAAGGAACTTTGAGGCAAGATGGAGAGCCTTCTGCATCGAGAATAGATAGGATAGAATATGCCTATGACTTCACGAACATTTGCTGCCCTCCTATGAAATAAACAAATGCACTGGAAACCAGAGATATAAGATAGCCCACATATGCGTAGGAACTTGCTAAACATTGCCTTGGAGTATGAGATGATAGAATAGAATTGACGATGTTGTGGGGGGGTTCCTGGCTATTTATCACCCCTAACATCATAAGAATAAATTAGTAATGAAGCCAAAATATGCATCTTTTGACTACTTTTTATTTGTAACCTACAAGGAAATCTACCACAAAAAACACTCTTCCTCATCACCTTAGGGAAAATAGCCAGTCACAGCTATTGTGCAATGCAGGTAGGTTTTTAAAATAGGGAACGGGTGAAGAACAGACAAAAGCTTCCCTCCTCACCCCCCAGCACGCTATTATGTGTCAAATAATGTGACAAAAGCAGGTCTGCAGAGGGAATAAAGAAGGTTTTCACAGAGTCAGTCTCTCCTCAGGGATACGTTTGTGAGAGATGGACAGGCTCTCCTTCAGACCTTCCTTTTAACCAGGGTGAAGAAAAAGACAGAGGGAAAAGGAAAGCCACAGAAGAGA